GTACATAATAAGCAAATTTTAACAACAGAAAGTGAATTAGTGGTTTTCTAGAATCAGACAGATGGAGGGATCATGAGAAATTGCTGCTAATAAGTTTATGGTTTCTTTTTCAGGTGCTAAATATATTCTAAATTTGAGGTAATGCTTACAAGACTCTGAGACTACCATTGAATTATACATTTTAAACAGGAGAGTTGGAGTATGTGAATTGTGTCTTGATAAAGCTGTCGTTTATGTTTTTTTGTGATGCACAAGATCTAAGAAATTTCCTCACACTGCTTGTCTTCAATTTTGCCATGGCATCACCCTCCCTTCTCCCAAGAACACTCTTCCTTTCAGCCAGGCATCACAGTAGCTCACAGGCAGGCAGCATTGCTCTACAAGTCACCCTCCTAGAAAGGTCTAAATCTGACCCTGGTCCCTCGGCTGGCCCTCTGCAGCATCCACTTTCTTTCTGCTGCAGTATACATTGCTTCCTATATGATGTTCAGTATTTATTGTCACACTCTTGCTCTCTCTCTCTCACGAAAAAATATCATTTTTCTAGCTGCTATATCACAAAGGTTTGGCATATAGTAGGTGCCAAATAATATAAATATCTATTTCTAAAATTAACTTCTTTCCTCATTACCCTAAGGAGAAAATTGAAGGGTGAGATACTAGTTCTTCTGTGTTGAATTAAAAGTTATTTTTCACTTTGACTTGGTAATTCCATTCTAGGAAATTTGTCAAAAGAAAATAATTGAAAAGAAGAAAAATTGGTATGGCTTTCTTGTGTCTACTTTGTACCAGGTACCATTTCAAAGCTAGTGATATTTTAAATGACCAACAGCAGTCAGATACTTAAGTAAATAAGAAAATTACAGGGTACTGTGAGTACAAAATGCTATAACCAATAAAGTCACAGAGATGGCATTTAACTAGTGTGGGAAATGATTATTCTGAGTATGAAAAATATAGAAACTTTGAGCTCTACTATAAAGCTAAGAAATCTTTATTGATAACTTGGTCCAGATGACAAGGTCCATGCAGGAGTAAGCATGATAAAGATCCATATCCATAGAGATCCATAGTAAGGAAAGGCAGGGGATGAGGAGTGTATAAGCGAGCTAACTTCAGAGAGTGCTGTTTCTACAGGAAGAGCCCAGTAGGACAAAGGGCTGACTGGTTCCTGCGGGTGTAGTGAGTGGATTCACTGGCTTCCTTAGGAGCCGGTTCCTAGGGAAGAAGGACAGTGGTACAGATCGACCAGTTGGAAGGGGCTGCAATGCCTGTGTATTTGGATTTCACACTGTGTGGAGAGGAAAACTGGAGTGTGGCTCAACACGAAATGCATTAGATGTGATTTGAAGTTTATAGGAGTTGACACCCCACGTTAGAGCTTGGAGGAGGACCTAAAGCCATTGTTGGAAGTTTGAACTTAAACCCTAAGAGGTGTACAAAGGCAAAGCAAGCACACACGGTAGAGAAATTTGAATGTTGGGACAGACCATAACTTTTAGTATGAGACTGATGGCTGATAATGAGATAGATAGATGTAGGATGTTGGGCTTCCAGTTTTTCCTCACTATGTGATCATAAAGAAAACACATGGTGATGTATCAGTGTGGGCAATTAGAACCCAGCACCTTGTACATGCTAACCACATGCTGTACCAATGCTGCATCCATTCTGTAGTTTGTGAATGAAATTGATGTCAAGTGTGTAGAGAATTATACTGGTACTAATAACTGTTTCTATTGAATGTCACAGAAAGAGTCTGGACACAACCAACCAAGTACTTAGGCTTCCTTTTCTAGAAAGCTGCAAAAGTTAAAACCATAGAATTTTCTTTCTTTGCTTTTATTGACAATTTATACAATATATTCTGGTCATGGTTTCTCCTCCCCCATCTCCTCCTGGATCCTCCCCACCTCCCCACTCATCCAGCTCCACACCTTCTCTCTGTGTCTTTAGAAAACAAATAGGGAAACTTAAAAATAAAAACACCAACGATCATAAGAAACACACGCAAAAAACATTAAAAACACAAAAAGCAACATGAGACCAAACAACAAACAAAAACACAGAAACACCATTTTGTGGTCGTCACTGCTGGGATGGGGCCTTAAGTATGATTTATATATCCAGTGACACATTGGGAGAAAACTGATTTTCCCTTTGTGAGCAGTTATCAGTTAGAGATAGAGTCTTGGTTTGGATGGGAAAGCATGTCCTTTTCCCCCTCCCACACTGGGAACCCGTCTGGCTTGAGCCTGTGCAACCTCTGCATTGTGCCCCAGGCTGTGTGAGTTCATATGTGCACCAGCCCTGCTGTGTGGAGGACACTGTTTCCCTGGTGTCAGCCATACCCCTGCCTCTTAGTCTTCCTGCCTCTAGAACCACAGAAATTCTTACTTGTTTGGTAGCATGCATTTTTGATATAAATAAAAGGGGCACCTTTTTTGTTGTTTTGAGCTTATCGTTAACCTTTCTGATTGCTTTCGTAGTTGACTGTAGCCTTTTTAACCCTGTGTTTTAAGACGTTTTCTTTTCTAGTCTCTAGATTTGATGGGGTACGAAATGTAAGCACTGGCCCTCAATTCTAGTATAAAAGTTGATGGAAATCCTGTAATATTTCCTGATACTGTTGCAGGCTGCTCGTTACTGTTCTTGTATGAACACTTCCGGCCAAATAGGAGACTCTTGACCAAGGAAATAAGCAAATCATGCTTAGGTTACCAGCTATTTTAAGGGATAAAATTAAAATTATTATTTACTAGCAGATATTAAATCCAGCCTTCCTCCATGGAGCTGAAAAGTTTAGTGATAAGGAAGGTATTATTTACTCAGAATTGTAATACATATACATAAAGCATTTTCAGTGTCTCCGTCCCCAGAGAAAGCATGGCTCAACAAGAACACTGGACTATGAGTCTTCAATCCTGGCTTTTGATCCCATCACAGTGTGAACTGGCAACATAATCCTGGAAATTTGTATCAAGGTGTTTATCACCTCATTTCTGAAATTAGTAAGCTACTAGAGCTCATTTTGCTATCCTACTACTAATCCCTTCTAGTTTTGATATGTAACCATTATTTGAAAGCATGTCATCTTTTGTAATTTGATCGGTGAACCTGCTCTCTGACACTGCAGTACCTGGGGTCTCATTTACCTCTTCAGGTTCAACACACACACGTGTTTTGAAGATGTGTAGTGCTTATCTTCAGAATGGAGTTTGGCCTACTCTGTAAATGTGTTCAGAAAACAATATAACACAGATACTGAAGGCAGCTTGTTTTCAACTTGTAGCTAAACATGACATTCAAATGTTAATTGGATGAATAAATCTTGTTCATTTTACAGACATGGAAATGTCAATGAAATAAAACTATTTATCACAAGATAATGGTCTCCTGCTGCCAGATAAATGCCAAGATGAAGATAGTTATTGAAAATGTATCAAAATATTCCAGTGCTGTTTATTGAAAATAAAGGTTGAGGGAAAGTTCAGCTTTTCAGGTCAGACATGAGAAATGCCCTGCTTTTGCCTTTAGTACATTACTGCATCAAAGGCAGTGTGCATGGTCCGGAAACACAGGGACCGTCTAAGAAATAGCAGTTCAGAAATGGATCTGTTAGCTTTGAGAAATACTGAATGCAGAGTAGGGGCTGGGAGGTGCCAAGTACTTCCTGAGCATTTTCTCTGTTCCTGACACAGTCCCACGAAGGGCCACTCATGTCCACAAAACCCTGAAAGGATTGTGGTACACCATGTATAGGAAAAGTAACTGAGACTCAGACAACAAGGAATTACGAAGTAAAGTAACTGAGATACACACAGAAGGCAGCTGCTGACCCCACGACCCCACTGTTAAACATGGCCCAGGTGCTACGCCTGCTGCCTTCCCCACATTTCTTCTTGGACTCTGAGTCTGCTTGCTACAGTGATACTTAGTTTTTTGAGTACAGTATTTCCCAGAGTTGTGTTGCACTCCTTTGAGGCCAGTAATTCAATAAACGGTGTGTCCTCGACAGGTAAAATAGGATATTTGTCTAAGCAAAAGGCCCACCTGCTGTTTGGGACCTTAATTCTGTGAATGGTCAGAGTGACACAGATTCTAGCATCTTGACACCCTTCCACCAGTGCATCTCGAAAACCTTGGCTAACTCTTTCTTCTTCTAAGTTTGAACTTAGCCACCTACTTTCCCTCTCATCTGTGTGCATTGTAAGTACCATGGTGGTCTCCATAGCGTACTCTGAATGGGCATCAAGTATAGAGAGATGATTAAAAGTTCCTAAGTGACTAAAAGGAGAATTTTTGCTCACTGCAGTTTCTTGCTAATCTCTTCATGCTAGCCTGTCAGGGTTCTCCACTCCAGTCATCCCTTCTGCTCCTGACACTGACACCATATGCAAGTGCCTCTGTCTTCTGCACTCTCCAGCACTAACTAGGTTTCCCTTGGCAGTAGCCTCTTTCTGTTTAGTATTTTAAGATATGCATATACTTTTCATGGTTTTCCCAGTAAATGGTAAGCTACCTACTGCAGGAAAGTATGTTTCCTTCCTCCTTTTACTTCTTGATACCCAGGAGAATGATTGGAACATTATTGTTAATCAACGCGAGAGTAAAGAGGTAGGGGTGTGGTTTCTTCAAGGACCAGAGGAATCATCAAGGCTCCAGCAGCATCCATAGCAGAATTCGGGGAATCAAAAAGTATGTCTCCTGAGCTTTCCCTTATGTTTGTATCTGTCATTTCTCTCTGAAACATGCTCACCTTTTATTTATTTTGTAAAATTCCTAAAGGTAATAGACATATCTTAGTAGTTGTGTGAATACAAAGGAGAGAAGCTTTGATGTTTAGTCCTCCCTCAGTAAGAAAACAGTAATTCACATGGAAATCGCATGCCTAAGAGTGTGTACACCTGTAGAGATTTTTCAGGGTACTTTAGAGCAACAGCAAGCACCATCGTGTCTCATGGGTCACTAATCTAGCCTTTCATGATGTACTTCCACAGATGGGAGACCTTTAGCCCTGAAGGATATATGGGAAGGAGTCCACGAATGCTATAAGACACGCCTGCTGCAGGGACCATGGGACACCATTACCCAGCAGGTCAGCCTTCATCTAGTTTCCTTACCCCCTTCTTTCCCTGTTTCAATCCTTCATGTCCTTAGAGAGGTCAATTCAAAGTCAGTTTCTTTAAAAACATCATCCCAGACCCAGGCTTGGTTTATTTTCCTTATTGTAAGCTTTCATAACATCCTGTCCTTTTCTTCCATTGGGCTTATTATAATTTTGAATTATATATTTGGGTGATTCCCTTTTTAAAACAATGTTGTGAGCTCCCTTTTGAGCAGACAGTGTTTGTTTTTTATGTTTTACTCTTCATCGTATGCCCGGAACCAGCATAGTACTTAGTGTATACTAGTTGCTCAACAAAAGTTTGCTTTATATGTGAACATAAAATCTAGGTTGGCACACATATTCAGAAATAGGGGCTTCCAGCAGCCAGGAGGCAGAGACAAGGGGATCTCAGTAAGTTTGAGAACAGCCATGACTACCTAGGGAGAACTTCTCTCAAAAATAAAGGGAGGGAGGAAAGGAGGGAAGAGGGAGGGAGGGAGGGAGGGAGGGAAGGAAGAAATGAGGAGGAGAGAGCAGTCTAGCTTGAAAGAAAGCTCTGTAGAGATGGCTTGGTTTGTAAAGCACCTGCTGAGCAAGCATGAAAACTTGAATTTGGACCCCCAGCATTGTGTACCCCCAGATTTGCAATGGAGATAGGCAGATCCTAGGTCTCTGAATCAATGAACTATACACGCACTCATTTTACACACAGAGAGACAGAATACCCAGAAATGTATACCTTTGATGAGGAAAATGTTTGCTTTTAAGTGTCAAAGAAGATGACAGAGGGTGTAGGGAGATGCAAACAATGTCTGTAATTTTACCGTTTTTGCTACAAGATCTCACTGTATAGCCTGGCTGACCCAGAGAAGTAGGTGCTTTTGCTTTTGTTGCCTGTAATTACGTCTCCGTTTCACTTGTAGGTGCATTTGGAAGAGAAAATGTGAACTCTTGGTTAGCAACAGGTTTGCAATATGGAAAATATGAAAATAGACTTACAAAGGAGATATAAAAAGCAAATCTGCAAAAGTATAGAAAACAGGTCTGCCAGTCGTGTCATTATTTCTGTCTTATTAAAAATAGTAGTTAATTATTTTAGAAATTCAAAAGTCCTACTTTGCAGACATCATAATCTTTAAAATAAGTTTTATGTATGTAGAAAATTTTCTCTAAGTCTCTGTTTAGCTGCATTAAAGCTTCCTTTAAAAATGGCTTTATCAGTCATTAGACTATGACGCCCTCCCCCGTGGCTTTGATCATAATTATGGCGGTTTATGTACCTGTCAATGTAAGTAGTTCTTTTGAGTGGCTGCAAGTGACTGTTTTCTAGGTTTTTAACTATGGACAAAACTATCACTAGGCTCCCTTCACACTACCCTCAGATTACCCCTTTCCTTTTCAGTTTCTTCCCCCAGACTAAGTGCTGCCCCCTCCCTCTGTCATGAATGAAGTCAAGCATCCATAGCTCTCTGCTCTTTTCCTCTTCGCCCCTTTCCATTAGTCATGCCTTTTTCAGAACTGCTGACTCATCTCACTCCCATCAGCCTTGCAAGTGCCCTCCAAGTGCTCACAGGGACCATCTAAATGCCTTACTGCCTTCAGCGGCTGCCACGCCCTGATGCCCACTTACTTTCCAACTTATTTTATTCCACTCTGTGGACTACTGATTTCTCTGTGCCCATCTTATGTCACTTGCTTTGAAACGCTTTGTAGGTTTTGATGTCTTCTTCCTTCTGCTTGGACATTTCCTTTCTCTCAAACAATATCAGTTCCCTCTGCAATCCAGGTTCTGTAGACTGGGTAGATGTATGGTTCCCATGAATACAGTAATTTCATAAATAAGAGAGATGGTTGTGTAGAGTCTGTCGAGATGGCTCAGTGTGTAAAGGGCGTACAGCACAAGCCTGGCAATCTGAGTCTGAAAGGTGGAAGGAGAGAACCAGCCCCACAAAGTTGTCTGCTGGTCACCACATGCATACCATGGTGTGGGCACCTGTGCCCACACACAAATAATAACTTAAAAATAACCACATAGGCTTTGAGCAAGACCATCTTGTTTAATGGAAACTGATTTGTATTAATTTATGAGTATGCCAAAGTGAATGCTGTTTGAACTTTCAATATATTGTCAGTGACCACACACTGCCAGAAATGTTAAACATTGAGTGAAGCACAGGACAGACAGAAAATATTTGTTTTGAAGAGCCAGGGAAGGTGGCAAGGATGTAGGAACATCATAAGCAAAATGTGTATGGCTTTAATTTTAGCATCAAAATTTCAGTAAACTGTGTAGCCCTGGCAGGCCTGGAACTCACTGTGTTGACCAGGCTGGCCTCAAACTCACAGAGATCTTCTGCCTGTGAGTGCTGGGGTTAAAGGTGTGTGCCGCTGCCCCAGCTTTAAGTACTTGGCTCCTTCCTTTTTTTTTTTTTTTTTTAGAAAATCTATCTATTTATTTTATATCCTGACTGCAGTTGCTCCCCTTCCCAGATCTCCCCCCCCCACGCTGTTCTGTCCCCCACATCCTCTCACCCATCTCCATTTCTGTTCAAAAAATGGCAGGCCTCCTGTGAACAGCAACAGAACATGGCCTGTCAAGTTGCAGTAAGACTAAGCACCTCCGCATGTATTAAGGCTGGGCGAGGCGACCCAATACGAGGAGTGGGATCCCGAAAACCAGTAAAAGAGTCAGAGACAGTCCCTGTTCCCACTGTTAGGAGTCCCACAAGAAGACCAAGCTGCACAACTGTCACATGCACACAGAGGGCCTGGATCAGTCCCTGCAGGCTCTCTGGTTGTCTCTCTGAGCCCCTTTGTGCTTTGGTCCTCCTTAATTGTGCTCCTGATTCTTTTCCTGTCCTCTTCCTTTTCCTCATTGATGATTCTGTTATTAATCTCAGTACCAACCTATTCATAGTTCCTGGTATGCTGTATACTTTCGTGTTTTAATTGCACACATCTCTGTTAGAGCTCATGGCATAGGAATAGAATTTTTAATTCAACTGAACTTTCTTTTGTTTCCTAACACAGTGTCACCAGTAGAGTTCTTCCATTAATGGAATATCTAGGATGTTTACACAATCAAATGAAGCAGTCTGTAGATTCTTTTTAAGAATTGTCTGATGTATTTTAGTGTTCAGGCATTTGAACCCCTTACCCCATTTGTCATAGTTCTGTCATGTCACACATCCGTAAACATTATTGTTTCTGACATGGGGCTTACATGGTAGATATTTTGTGTGCCCAACTATAAAATTTAGGTGGACTTAGGGGATTTCGTTTACTGAAATTTTGATTGTGGTAGTTTAAATAACTGCTCCTGATAAGCTTCCTTGTAAAATCTTCATTTAAGCTTTGGAGCCACTTAACAAAGTATCTGCCCAAGCAGTCAAGACTGAGCAAGAAAAACTCATTTGTAGCCATGGGCACCACTGGGCTTTTGAAAGTCATTATATGTATTTCCTTTGAAGATCTTGGTTCTTAATCCCAGATCGGCTAACAGGTTAGTATTTACCTTTTCCTCTGCTTGAGATCTTTGGGAGAGTAGATCTGCATTTTTATAAGAGTTCCTGCGTGGGGGCAAATACCAAGGTGACCACAATGGGACACAGTGGAAGGGTGTGTTACAACCCTAGAGGAGATAAGCTGACAGAATATTGGTGCCACCAAGTAGTAGACACCGTTTTGCAGAATTGTACTAACGAATCATTAGCTTGCAGACTGAACACTGTAATAATATCCTGTCCCCCAGAGTGCCTTAAAAACAAAAGCAGCCTTTGCATAATATGAAATGCATTTCACTTCATTTTCAGGACTGATTGTGCTCATATAGTTTGTTCCTCTTCATCTTCAGTAATCACACTTCTGTTCTCTCAGCATTTGTCTTGATGATAAGGGCTTGCTCATGTCAGACATGAACCCTCTCTTTTGAAGACAAGCCACTCATGCATCTCATACATCTGATTATGGTGATTGCTCACCTGCCTTTGTCCAACCTTACAGACTAGCTATTATTTCAACTCCGCAGCCTAATAAAAACTTCCTAAAGAAAGTTAACTGGTACCTAGCTAGGGTCTGGCTAAATTGCTAAAGTGAATGTTACAGTGACCATCACTAAAGGTGTGAGGGCTGTGTTTTAGGACAAAGAAGCCTTGTGATCTCAGCATCGACTAACGTCACAAGATTTTAAGGAAAAAAGCAGATCTTCAATTTTTACTTAAAAGGAGTTTGTGTGTAAAGATGAATATAGTCAAATAAGTAGGTTAGGTTCTTTCTTATTTCCTTAAACCCTATATTTTAAGACATTTCAAACATATCTAAAAGTACAGATATTCATTTATTTATTTAGCCACAAGTGGCTAAACCTAGGTTTCTCCATGTGATAATCAGATGTTCTAACCACATGGCTATACCCTGGTCTCAGACTGCTTTATTTGTTCATAGTTTTTTGGTATCTCATCCACTTTGGAATTTTCTAGACACAAGCCTTAGGTATCATTTTTTTCATCCATAAATATTTGAGTATACATTTTTGAAAGTGAAGCCTTTGCATAAGGATTTATAGCAGTGGTGTTTATTTATAATAGTCACAAATGGAAACAAAATCGGTGTCCTTCCGTGGTAAATGTTTAAACAGATTGTGGGATGCTCTTGCCCTCCAAGGCTAGTCAGTAATCAACGGGGTTCAACTAATGGCACACTCACCAACCCGAGTGAACCACTACACAATCAATCCCAGTGCAAAAGGACAGCCTGCAAAGTTTGCATAGTGCACGATTCTATTTTCATAACACCTTTTTCTCTTTTACATTTATTTTTTTCCAAAGTTTATTTATTATTTTACAATTATACACACACACACAGACACACACCACATTTTTTTAAATTAGTCACTCCCCATTATCCTTTTATCCCCTTCATCTTCCCACCAAATCCCTTCATTCTATGGTGTGTTTGTGTGTGTGTGTACATACATACATTACATACAT